GCATTTCGTTGCTTACACATTTTTGTCTATTTTTTCCTTTTTTCCTCTTCACCACTCACCGGTCTGTGCAGCCTTTGCGTTTTCTAGGCAATTCGGTTGAACTTATTATTTTTTCGCCTATTTTTCTGTTAAATTTTTTTCGCTTTTTCATTCAGCTTCTTTACATCATTTTTATAAATGGTTGACTGCCATATCAGCCATGCTTCGCCTCATTTCTTCCATTACTCGTGGTGTAGCGGAAATTTATTACTCCAAAACACATGGCCATTGCACGAAGAGCTTGCTTGTGTGTGTGTGTGTGTGTGTGTGTGTGTGTGTGTGTGTGTGTGTGTGTGCACTCCATCTCCATGCAACTTTACTTTTCATAAATACTTAATGCAATACTTTAAAAAAATATGTCTGTCCTATTGGAGGGAAATGCTTTCACACCGCCACTGCGTGCTTGCGGTTGCTTTGGTTCAATGCCTGCTGCTTCTGTGTGCTGTGGAGCCTTTGCCGTTTATTTATAAATTCTTTTTTCGCTCAACTTCAATTTTATAAAGTAGAAAATTGAGTGGCTCTTTTGAAGAAGTGAGAAATCATACATTTGTAATGTGCAATAAATTCTTGCATTTTATCTTAGCGCTCAACCAAATGTAGGCCATTTGAGCGGCGAGAAAAGTGTCCTGTTTTGCTATTCAATAGTAATAAAAGGACTTTATATTATAACCAATGAAAAATTGCTTAATTATAGCTTCCACCAATTTAACTGCTGCCCTGAACTTGGTACGGTATCTGCATGATAGAAGCCCATTCTATTTTAATTCATTCATACACCCTAATAGCCAGTCGGTGATACTGGAATTCTGAAAGCCAGAACTCGAGTGCTGGTCTCACCAAAAATTACAGAATTCATTAGTTAATTTTTATATTTGAGGTTGCCCTTCGGCAGCGAATATCAATCCCTGAGAATGTATTTCTGATAAGAACATCAAAGCATCCCATAACATACGTCGAACGTGCGGAGGCGGCTTACAATAAACCGTAAGTTGTAGGCTGAACTCGGCCGAAAATTGCTTTAGTGCTTACAAAGCGCCAATTATATTATACATATACGTATCACTGGCTGGATTCCATTTAATTTGTAGTAAATTTGCTGTAAAACAACCATAATTTCTCATGATGTCTGCGTCGTAGCCTTAATTAGACCGGACCAAAACAGTGGATGCCCCTCTCTTTACCTTTCTTGTCATACAGTCCCTTCTTCAACATGTGACCCAGAACTAAGTGCATCTCTCTTCAGTACCATGATCTAGGTTGTTTTATAGACCGTTGAGCTTTCCCAAAAGTTTTTCAGTCAAATTTCTTGCCTAGAGCCTTTATCGATTTCGGTTCTTGTTGTATTCCAGTGGCAAGTTGAAAAGCGTTGTTGGCAAGCTGAAGGGTTGTCTAAGGTCTAACTCAGCACAATAGCCATTGACAGATCGCACTTTTCTGGTCCTTTTCTTGTCATTTTCAGGGCACTGGTTTAGGCGATATGTAAACAAGGCATTGATCTTTTGTCCTTTTTTCTACAAAAGCTTTCTAAACATAATTACTCCGTGGGACTTGTTGCGGTCCTTTGGTAGTAGAGAGAGAGAGAAAGGCGCCAACTCATCATATATATAACCTCAATAAATTCTTAGATTGCCATTCAAATTTTTCTATTTTTCTTCCCTTACTCACACTCTTCGCTATCATGGACAAACAGATTTTTCTCAAAAATAAATATATTACTTTTCGGCATTAAAATGTCGGTGTTGTTGCTGCCAAATGGATTATGCAAATTAGCGCGCACCTTGTGCCTTCCTAACGGAGCTTTGAAATGGAAAACTATTTTCTTTGCCTCGAATTTTGTGTGCTTTTAGCTCGCTTTCACTTTAACCTTTTCCTTTTTAGACATTTTTTAGTTAATTTTATGCGAAAATTTAAAGAGTAATTTGAAAAGAGCTTTTCTCGCCCTCACAGCTTTTAACTTTTTGTTCAAGATACTTCTGGCATATTTTTAGGAGGAGAATTGTCAAATTCCTCAGTTGTGGGAAATTAATGAGAAATAATATTTCATATAATACATACATACATACATACAAATACTGAAAACCCATATTGAATCTTTATTGTACAATTTATAAAATTGAAATCTTCTTCTTCTTCTTCTCCGCGAAATTTTAATTGAAATTCGCAAATAACGGAATATTCACTTTGTGCATTTGACTCCAACTTTTTGCATTTGTTTGCCGCGTGACTTGGCAAAGTAAAATATAATTTCCGTTAATACAGCAACAAGTTCGACACCTCCTGCTCTGCTGCTCTGCTGCTCTCCCGGCCTCTCCCACTCTCACTCAGCACACGCCAAGAGCTGGCATCGAGTGTGTGGTGCAGAAGGCCTGGAGGCTAAGTTAAGCACTCACTTGCAGCACAATTCCGACTCATTTTAGTCAACTCGAAACATGATTTCAAACGTTCGCACTTTTTCACGCCAAACTGCGACGCACACCAACCTCCGAGCTTCCACCTCCGAGCTTCCACCTCCGAGCTCCGACCTCCGACTGTAGTGCACTGCATTCATATTTGCTCATACGCCTCCTCTCCTTTTTCGTCTGTTTAAACAGCGCTAATAGCTGGGCAAAGCTCGACGTAGGTAATTTAAATTTTATTAGACCACATTTTGCGAGGAGTTTATTTGCATTCAACACAATTCAAATAGCCAGCGTGTGGTTGGAAGCATTTGCGTCCCCAAAGTTAACCGCGAGGCGGCCAACTGCTAGTCGCTCGAATAGCTGTGCACTGGCGCGTATGAGTAATAATTCGTCTGGCTGACGGTTGAGGCTACCAACACGACCATCGCCATCACCAGCACCAACACCACCGTCGCTGCCGTCAACATCACTTTAGAGCGTGGGACACTTGTCCTCTGGTAGTTTGCTGAGTTTTAAACACGCGCGAATGCAACGCGTAAATCACAAAACTATGCTGCGACCACACTTTTTGTGCTCCACACGATTGTTGTTTTCGGTTTTATAGCCGAGCAGCGACTGTTTGCAGGGGGCTATGAGGCTTGTTCGCTCTACGGTTTCATGTAACAATACTTTATATCCTCCTCCGAGCTCGAGAGAAATTCGAAACTAGAAAGGAGAATACAGGACTGTACAGAGAGAATACGTCTTTATTGGACAAAGAACATTGACTTTCCTTCCTTAAGCAGACACGCTATTGGAATTGAATCATTATTCGTCGCATTGATTTTAAATTTTGTTAAAAGAATAGGAGACGAAAACTTTATGCGATTCTGAAAGGATCCAACAGAGTGTGAGTTGAAGGAACCTTCCTTCCAGAGAAAGCTCAAGTACTGCGAGTCTATCTTCTCTTTGTTTGATGTTAGCGACGAGGTTACCCTTTGGATGCCGATTTTTTATCTTCTTAAGGCTCTTCTGGGGCATTAAAGTATTTTTTAGTAGGTCTAATTAAAATAGGCTCCTCCCTACTTGACGTTGAAGGGGTCACATCTACGGCTGTGGCTTTCGATGTCATGTGGTGCTCATGCGGTTATGTTGCGTACCTTTGGTCGGTGGTGGCGGTTTCAGAATGTTTTATGATTCCCTATTGCAAGCCTCATTAATGATTCTGTAGGTGTATGCGTACATGGGTAGCCTATAGGCATATCCTTTGGTGTGCAAGGTACTTATATATCAAATCTACGCGTCTTCTCATAGTTGACATGAAATTTGTTCGCTTTGGCTCAGCGCCCTAGTAAAGGGGTACCCACACATACATCTATACTCGGCAGTCAAATCTACTAGTGGCAAACTTCCGCGAAATTAGTTAGTGAACTGATTTTTTCAACAATAGAAACTGGTATTTTCAACTGGGGGATGTTCTTCGATGTATCTATCAGCTGCATACTAGTTAAATACCAGTTCGTTTCTGCTGAGATGTTTGAGCTCTGAATTTCATGCCTAACAACGATAATACCTAACCACGCAGCTGAGGAGAAAGAAGAAAGGAAACAACAGTGGTTTGCTAAATCACAACAACAACTAGTGATTGGGTGCTGAAATTTAATTTTAATTCCTTCTATGGTATCATCCTAAAAATACTAGTTCAATTCTAGAACTTCTAAATGCTACATATTTAGCCACTAAATATGACACCCCCGTAAAAGGGCTCAGCTGAGCGAAATAAATCCTTCGAGAGTGTTTCACTTCATTTTACACTCGATTTGAACGTTTTGGTCGTTTTGCTTCTGGATGCAGTTGTGAACTACATTGACAGTTACATACAAATATTTTCTGCAGCCGTGCGCGTATGCGTGCGCTCGCTCCGAGCAAAAACAATATCAACTCGCTTTTAATGTTTCCACAGATTGACTAAGCTCTGCTCGACTCTGCCCGCTCCAGGGACGGCAGCAATAAAAAACGCGGGTTAGAATGTCTTGTTTGGACATTCGTGTATACACTCATTTGAACGCCAAGCGCAAGGTAAATAGTGCGGGCTTTCATTTATGAATCGTGTAATGATATTTCTGCTTGACTCTTGTTTGCCCTGAGTGACTTTAAGTGGGTTGGAATTAAATAAACAGACACTGAGTGACAATGTGACTAAAGCCGTGAGCGCAGTGGAGCTCTTCTGCTTTTATTGAAGGGGACGAACTTTATGTCGAACTGCTGGATCTTGCGAGTTGTCTTGTGTTCTCCCAAACGAACGAGTACATCTGCTGTAGATGAAAGTGTTAAATTTTGGCGTCAAGGAACGTAAGGATGAGCAGTGTATGCTTGTGAATATTAAATTTAAGGTCACTCTGGATGGAATAGAAAATAGGAATTCCGAGGAAGTTGAGGTTTGTTTTGGCATTCTGTCTTGACTAAAGTAGTGGTCGATGCGGTACACCTTGCCCGCGTATTATAGAAATAGAGGTTTCCTGAGTTCCTAAAATAAATTAGAGTAATTCAATTTTAAGTTTCTCCTTTCTTTTCTTCCCACAGCGTGTCTTGTAATGCGCCTTGGGGGAGGCTTACCATACGACGGCGACCCCCCGACAATGAGCGCAGCTGGCAATGATTATGCAGAATTATGCGATCTTGGACCCTCACGATGGAGCTCGCGTGGCTATTATTACGCACCACCCGCACATGCGACCGCCTTACATCCTAGCGCTGCGCCCGGTCTACAACAACCGCAGTCCTCATCTAGTGTACCAACCGGCAGTTCGGCCGGCCTCAGTGTGCATCCGTTACGCACACCGAGTAGCTACGAAGCGGAAGACGTTTCCTTTGGTATGATAAGTCCGCCGCCGGGTGTGGTGATTGGTGGTGGTCCCGCGTCAGCGTCAGTTGGTCTAAGTGGCACGTACGGCATCGGTTCGCGTATTGGTAATAGTACAAGTTCGTTACGTGGCGGTGGTCGATCCGGTTTATATTACTCACCGCCCGGCACTTCGTATACGATTGTGGAACGTCCACATTCACCACATTACTATTACAATACGGCTGGTGCACCAACGAAAGGTGGTTCATTGCCGGGGCGTGGTTCGTCATATCTCTCATCGACAGCCTCACCCACCGGCCATATGGCGGCGACGGGTGGTGGCGGCACCTTGCCCAACTCAACGGCGACGATGGGCGGACGGGCGCACAGTAGTATGGGTATGGCAAATGGCAATAAAAAGCGTCCCATCTCGCCGGAGCAAGTGTTGCGCATGTTCGGTGCGACGCAATCATCTTCAGTTCCTACTAGTAGCTATCACTATAGCAATGGCACAAGAGATCGTACAGGACGGCGGAGCCCGGCGAGTAGTCCGCCCTCGACCACGCATCAGGTAAGTGGGCAACGGAAGGTTTGGAAATAATTCGGAACTAATTGTTCATTTATCTTTTTTCTTCTGTTGCAGATGTATCGTGAACGAGATCGAGATCGTAGTATAACGAATATTCATGAATTAACCACACGTACCATAAACATGTCACGCGATCAACAGATCGATCATGGTTTTGGTATTTGTGTTAAGGGAGGAAAAGACTCAGGTAATTGAAAAGGGAAGGATAGAAATGTTATGAGTATTCTAAGAAAATTTAACTAAACAGATTTGTGGTAAGAGAGTAGAGGAAAGAGAGAAACTAGAAAGTTATTTCAGTCTTGGGCTTACTGCCAGTCTGTCATAGGTCATTATCCGAAGAATACAGTTAAGCGTTGCTTTGTAACGGCCCTTTAGCAATTTAGATTACCTCATATACTATCTCGTCCTATTATCTAACGTCGTATTTTCACTCTAACAGCCTGCCATTAGCTTATTGAAACTTGGTATGGGAGCTTGCCTAGGCATAACGTCTCCAAGATACTCGTCTCCAAAAGGCAAGCAATGAGGACGATAAAACTAAGCTCGAAATAGCTATTGTTGTAAAACACTTTGTAGCCAGCACTCTATTCGAACATAGACTAAGCGTCGCGAAACGGCAATCGACTTGGCCCTACTTGGGATTTTTATTAAGGAAAATTTGCCACTAATTGGAAAGGACATTTTAAATTGTTTCCTTTTTCCCCCAAAAAGCCTCGTATTAAAGCACTAAATTCCTTTAGCTAGGTTCTTCTTTCCACTCGTTTGCTTCTCGTCCGCCTTCAGCTTTGCTCTGACCTTGATCGACAAAGATTGCTGCTGCTGCTGCTGCCTCTCACTGCCTCTCACTGCCTTTCACAGGCTGGCACGTCAGGCTCTCCAATGTGCTTCCTAGAACCCTTCAAAATCAACGTAAGCTAAGCCTGAGAGTGTGGGTGGGTGTGTGTGTATGCCCTGTGCATGTGACACATTTGAATGTAATTTGACATTCTTTGTTTTCCTTTTTTGCGCTTTGACATTTCCCTTTGCTGCCAGCCTCGGCAGACAAAGCCGAGCAATTTTTGTACTTGACTACAATGCGGTATTTTGAAAATGTTGCGACGGATGGAAGGAAGTGTGGTGGGGGAGGGAATGGAAAAAATATAGTTGTAATAGCAATAAGAGCAGTAAAAAATACTGTTAACCACAAAAGTGTCAGCTGCAACTGCAACAACAACAGCAGAAATGCACCTACGTACGTCATTGGCAGGAGCTGGGACTGCAACGGCATGCTAGCCACCAGCAATGAGCAACCGGCAATGCCACAGTCGATTTAACGTTTACGTGATTGCAGTTGTGTGTGTGTGTGTTTGTGTATGTGTGTGTGTGTGCATCACCCTCATTCGATGTCCTTCAGTTATTGTTAACACACCCACTCACATACCCGCTCCGCTAGGCAGCAAACTTAAACAACAACAACAACAATAACATTAGAGAAAGCAACACGATTGCAACGAACCGCAAAGACAGAGAAGCAGGGGCAGAGAGAGAGAGAGAGGAGCACAAAAAGGTGCTTAAATGCCGTTATGCAGTGTCATACTTAACGATTAATGCCCCGTTATTCTCCTATTTATAAACCTAAGAACAGATTTTGTTTCTATTGTTGTAATTTTAAAATCAATAAATTCTATTGTATTATGGCTAGCAAAAGGGTCCGACAATCACCGCAAATTCAGATTCCCCTCTCTCCTGCATTTCTGTAAATGTTTATGTAACAGCGTGTGTGTGTGCAGAGATATAACGGAAGAAACAAACGGTGATACCAAGCAGGAGTCATATCAGCCATAATGAACAGCACGCGCAGGCTGAGACTTGGTTGGAGGTATCTAATATGAAGACGGCTGGAAGATGAACAGTCACGCACATAGTTTGGCACTCAAATTGAATGCTTCACACGGCAGCGAAATCAGTGGATCTCTAGGTAGAAGCTTGGGCTATGATGCTATTGACTTCATGGCACTGAAGATGGCTTGAAGGATCTAATTTCCACAAAGCTCTATACCAGATACCCCTAACCAACCCACTTCCACTCCAAATTCAAATTCAATCTTAAAAAAATCGATTTCAACTCGAGCTCAGGTAAATTCATTACCGTGAAATCCCTAAAATCGGTTACAAGTCAAAGGATGGATCGCTCATGTGTCCATTAACACCCTCCTCACGCATCACACAGCTAACCGCATTTGTCGGTTGCGCCTACAGTCATCAGTGTTTTCCTCTATTCGTTTGCCGAGTGCGTGCCGTTGGCGTTGCTTGTCGCCTGTGGCCTTGTGTGGGTATGTGGCTTTGTAGCTTTGTGTATGCATGTGTGTGAGTGTTGCAGTGTACTCGTACATGCATCGCTGCACATTCCATTTTTAATAACTGCAATTTGATATAAATCGTAAAATTCAACCTGTTGGTGGACGAAATTGGTCAGTTGACTGTTAACGGTTTCACAAGGGTGGTTGGGAAGGATTGTTGTTAGGTGATGGCACTGTAATTGAAAGATATATACTTTTTTAAAGCGAATGTTCTGTTAATTGGTCGTTGGAAAGTTTACACTTGTGTGTGACCGGAGGATGAGCATCGCTGCCCGGGTGCCATCCGAGAAGCTTTTGAATCTGCTCTATACTATTCCGATTGACATGATATGTAATTTATGCATCTCCAGCCTTTAGACTACAGTGGTAATCAATTACGGTAGTCCTCAGACCTATTTCACTCTCCTGTTGGTACTTTTAATCGGAGTCGTGTTTTATGCATCTTGCGTATGCCGAACCCACCCTCAATCTCAATAAGCGGCATTGTTTTGAACTCGTCACCTGTATAATATTTATATAGCTAAATGCTGGCTTCACTCGAACCCAATGAATAGAGGCTACACATCAGTGTTCTCTTCAGCCTAACATGTCGAAGTGGTTCCAGTAAAACTCCCTCCATTTTAGCCATAACCAAACGCTTCCTCCGTTAGCTCCCAAAAGCTTGCACTGCAATCGCTACATTACCAGTGGGGTCAAGTATAATTCTGAGTTACAAGCGCTCCCTTTGAGGAAAAACTATTCTCGAAGTAATCTTACAGAAAGTTAAGCGACACATCTTACTAAATGAACTTTTAGGGTAGGTGGAGAGGCTAATGTGGTCCTTTTATTGAAAAAGTAGTTATTTTACTCACCATCTTCTTTTCATTCTTTCCGATTAAGAAAATGATTGGCAGCCCAAAGAGAGAGAGATAGAAAAGGGCTTGTCAAAGCGTTTAGCAAATTTATAAAATCTTTACACTAAAAGTTCAATAGTTTTGCGACAGAGTCTCAAGAATAATAACACGGAGCAGTAAGACACTATAATAAAGACTTTGAAGGCCAATTTAGCTTATACTCACATATTTATGATAATTTACTTATAAAAAAAGATTCTCAATAATTCAACCCTAACCTAAAAAATGTCTGTGGCTCTTTGCATTGCCTATCAAACACAATTTGTTGGAGCACCAATAATGTGGTTACCAGAAATTCATTTACTCTCCTTTTATTCTATTTTTTTTCATCAATTATTGCCGTCGCCACACAATTGCTTTCAATTACAACAACAACACTACTGCATCAAAAACCAATCATCAATGGCGAAATGAACACGCAATTCAACGATTTAATGAACGAAACGTAACGCTTAATGCACGTAACGGCAAAATGGTGAATTGCCAACAGGATTAGGCGTTTATATCTCACGCATCGAAGAGAACTCCGTAGCTGAGCGCGCCGGCCTGCGCCCCGGTGATACAATCCTAGAGGTGAATGGTACGCCGTTCACTTCAATAAATCACGAGGAGGCGTTAAAAGTGAGTATGATGATGATGATGATGATGATGATCACATAACTACTTATAATACATATATACATGCATACATATAATATATACGTTTTGACATATGCATAACCACCTAATGGCTACTATTTCAACATTTTCATACACACAGTACGCACACGCACACGCACACATTTCGTACATACATATATGTATAATTGTTTAATTTACTACTCACTTCTTTATCATAATCTCTCCGATAATAAACGAATGATAAAACAATCAATCAAACGAACAATCAAGACCATCAAACCAAATCGATTGTTCATTAAGTATATGTATATATGTATGTACATAGATAGGCACTCACATCTGCTTGCATATATATTTACATTCATACACATATACATATGTATGTGCTCGTACATAGATCCTTGCATACAAACATGTACATGTATTAAACTAGATTTGTGGCACACGTAAATATACGGTCTTACTCAAAAACATAACAAATTTCCTAATTATTGCATATGCACCTACATACACGTACATACATGTACATATATGTATGTATGTCTGTAGGAAAGTAAATATATGTACGAAAGAGCTTAAATCATTAAAAACTTAGTCCGTCCATTAAGAAACGGTTAACGGCATCCAGCATGCACTCATATTTACACCCATACATACAAACATAAATGACACATACTCCTACATTTACTATGTGTACATAAATACGTGTGAATATATCCATTGCGCGTTAACGTAATGACAATAGTTTTCGCCATTCTTTGTGAATTAAATCACTTAACTACACACGTGACTGCATACATACGCCGCTGAAGAATCTAAGAAAGCTCCCAACTTCATTTAACACTTTTTTATTTCGTTTATTAATTATAATTAAAACCGGATCAAAATATTTTTCAATTTAAATTCTTTTCATTTTATACTTTTTTTATATTTTGTTATTTGTTAAATAAAATTTCATTATTTTTTCCAAATTAAAATTGTTTACATTTTTTTGCTTTATTTTTTTTTTTAATACTTTTTTATCGATTTTTTTGTGAAATAATTAATGAAAAATGTGTATGTATTTTATTAATTATTGTTAATTTAATTTTTTTATATTGATTTTCTTTTTATATTTTTTTATGTGAAAAAATATAATTTTTTTTAAACAGAAATTAGAAATTTTTTAGTTAGGTCATTTCAACATTTCAGCAACGTTAAGCAAAAATCTGCTGTCATATCAGAGTTTTCAAGGCAGGAACAAATGTATGTACAAAGTTAGGTATGTATGTATATAAACATGTATGTGCATATGCAATGGTTCATTATTCATCTCTAGCTTTGGCCGTCATCTATCCATGTATACACACATATGTACATACCCACATAAATATAAACTCACCACAAACATATGCATATCTGTATGTTGGTATGTACATAAATGAAGAGGTATTTAAGAACAATTTAGATCAATTTATGTGCGCATTTACATACATACATACATACATACATACTCGTCAAACCATTACATTTGCTTTCAGACACTAGGGCAACTCACCTTCATACTGAAACATACAAACATAGATTCATAACTCATTACAACACTCATACATAAGTATCTACAAACTATGGAGTTACTTACATATCAATTCAAATGGTATATACTCATACCTACCTACATACTTATGGTACATAACGTTTGAGGAGCATTGTCAACTCTTTTAATTGTTGTTAGTGTTGTTTTCGTTGCATGAATGCAACATATTGTACATTTTATTGATTTTTAATGTAATTTCGTTTGCATCGCTAAAGCCTATGGATGTGTATACACAAAAACACATACACACATACACACATAAATACATACACACATATATACATAAATACATAAATCTAATATTCACCATCAGTTTTACAATGAAAACTGCACACGAGATGATATGTTATGATACTCTATGAAAAATACGCACATATTCGCTTTTACATACATACATATGTACTTATATATGTATACTTATGAGTAAATGAAATCAAAATTGTCATCGACATCGAGCTTCAAGCCGCCCGCACCAGCAATAATCGCTTACCTAGCCATTTTTCGATATCCCTTCACACATACATATGTACATAATCTCATTCTGTGCCAATAACAATTCCATTACATGCATTCATACATACACGTATGTATGTACATGCATACATATATGCAAATTCTATAACTCATTCCATTCAAACTTATGAACTTATAAGTTTACTTATGTGTACGTTTGTATAAATATGTGTATGTGTGTGTGCATCTCATTTACAATATTTAATTGAATCGATTTGTGAGTTACATTCCTTTGTAGTTGCTGTAGAACAATAATTATTTGAGTTGTTGTCGTTGCATAGGCACTCTTAAGCCGCTTTCGTTTGTGTGTGTGTGTGTGTGCGCGAGTGCAAAGTGAAATGCATTTAATTATCTTCATCATAACTCCCGACCGATTAGAGCTAATGCCGGCGATGCAAATAAAGTTGGTAGATATTTTGATAGTTAAGGTGGTTGGGCTACTGGTCTATCGCATCGACTACACGTAGGCATGACTAAAACTCATTGCGATGTCGGAAAAAAAAACTTGAACTATAATCTTCGGTATCCAACCACTTCGATTCGCTAATGAACTTAACAGTTATATCTTCGATAGACTATCCAGCAGGGTTTAAAAACTCCAAAGCTTTGCACTGCCCAAAGCAGGACAGTCGCTTAAGAGATGGTTGCTCGTTTGCTCCTCCCCATCAGCCATGCAACTTCGAAGCGTATCTCATAGGAAGCCCCTAGTCTCTCTGCATGTCGTCTACCCCTCACAGGCTAGATCAAGTACAAACCATAGATCCATTGATCCCTTCGGTTCTTGGTATGCATCTGAATGTTTCTACAAACAGTGAAGGGATCTACAGTGCCTTTGTTAGCAGTCTTCGAATGGCTGTTGGATTTTTATGAGGGGCATTTATCTCATCTCACAAATACACTCCACGAGGAATGATTGGCAATTCACTGATGAAAAATTAAAACACGAGAATTTGATGCATCAAATGTAATTAAATGCAAAATCCACACATACAAATGCGCCCTCAAATTTGCATACAATATATGAAAAGGCACATAAATAGCAGCATTGCCATGTGTAATGTGTTGCAAGTGGCCACATTCCCATGCACACAAAATCAAACTCCACACAGCACCGCCAGAATTTCCGTTGGGTGGCTCGGCTGGTGTTGCCTTCACATTAATTGACCTCAGCCGAGTGTCGAGTGGGTCTCTTACACACAGCTATTAATAAAAACTTTCCCATGAGTTGAAATATTTTACCAAAAATTTAATTTCCAGCTACAACACACGGACACACACACCACCTTATTCTGCCAAAGCGAATTCGCAAATTTTTCTATACTTATTTGTACATACATACATACATATCACACATACATCATAACGAAACACAAAAAATAGGTATTATTTACGTTGTTGTAATCGTTTGTAATATTTTAAAAGTGTACAGCAGGCACCCAAATAGCACCAACCGTCCTCGGACAGTCGCAACCTGAGCAACTTCTTTAAAAAGTCTTTTTTTTTTACTGAAGTGAAGCTGAAATACTGGCCAAGTGTGCTATCGATTGTTATTTTGGACTTAGCTGGGAAATTTTCCATGAACTTCTTCTTAGATCAACCCGAATTAAGTCAAAGATGTAAAAGGAATCCCGAACTCTATAATTTCAAAAAGATACCTAAACAGTTCGGAATTATCTCAAACAGATTAGCAAATACTTTGAACATTCCCAAATTGAATATCGTAACACAATTTCAAAGCCTCCGGAATATAGCTGAAGGGGCTCTGAAATTATTTGCGGATATGTATGGAACCAGGGGCGCAATGGCTGGCATTAAACAAACTGTCATCATATTCGCAAGTCGGCTTATCATCTACCAAATCACTCATTTTTCCCATTCTGTTACATGGTACGGAGGTATGGCTGATGCGGTCATCCGTTGAGCCGGCCTTGGTAGTCTTCGAGAGAAAAGTTTCGAGAAAGATATAAGGTCCGATTGCGGATTGACAGCGGTGAATGCCATACGATATACGGTGATATTGGCATAGTTCAGCGAGTCAAGAGGCAAGATGTTTTGCTATACGAAACAAACAACAAAATAATTATGAATCAACACTCATCCGCAATGGACTACTTCCTTTCTACACTAAGCTAGCCAGTTAAACTGTGGGATTTTCAACAACAATTTGTTTAACTTAAATGCAAATTAACGTGCAAAATTTCACATATATATTTATCGCTGGGTAACGTAGTAAGCTCATACTTACTCATGCTTATGTACATATGAGTATAATAAATAATTGCACATAATTTCACCGATTAAATTAGGTCAAATTCATATTGCCAGCTACTGACCGAACTTCACTCTAACTGTTGGCTAGCGTAGAGTATGTATGTATTATATGTCTCGTCATTGATGTTTAATTTTTTACTATATTATTTATACATGTATATGTGTGTTTACGTGGACATTATTTATATATCCGTTTATTTTTTAAAAAACAAAATACCAATATATTGTATATTTTAATTCAAAATTTTTTATATTTTTTTGGTTAAAAAACTGTCTTTTAGTTAGTAGTCGCTGTATTCATTTGTTAATACATACACACATGCAATTATATCATTTAGTAGCTCATCATTAGTATACATATTTAAATGTGAAACGTGTTAGAATTTAGAAATCATGGCAACGTTCACCAAACACTCATGTGCAAAATAAAAACAGCCAACCTCACTAATTACACCTCACACCTCACACCTCATACCTCACCAAAACTATTTCTATATTCTATTTGAAAAGTATTAAATATTAATAATATATATTCAAATAACAAACACCAAACCAATTTCCCTTGCAAAAACAAAAATGAAAATTATAAATTCGCAATATTTGTTTGAATAAATTACAATGAGTTGATTGAATGACTCGATTGACTAAGTGAAATCCCAATTGGCCATTGTGACACAAACTCCTTTGACACTTTTTAAAACACAATGAGAAAAAATTGGCAATAGATAAGTTTTCGTTGATTTTCCCTTGGTTCTCAAGTCCGTTATGTTTAATTCGATTCTTCTTATTTATATTAATTTTTTAAACAAATTTTGTTCGATTCGGTTTTCTTTCTCAGTTGTGATCGTCTCAATTTTGATTTACTCACTTTACAAATGACCAAATTTATGGTGCAAAAATACCGTTATAAACACATAAAAGCACATCGTGTTGCCTCAGTTTCGAAACTGCACAAACAAAAAACGCCTTTTCCAATTTGAATTACGAAAATATTTTCAAGTCCAACCTGACTTTCTATGACTACCCGGTCTCATATCAATTTGACATGCTTAGTTATTCAGAGAAAGGCTACCTGTCAAGCTTATAATCAGTACGTGATTTCAAAACGCTTTACGTTTGCTGCTGTTGTTGTTTTTGTTATAACGGCTATCTAACATCGATGACATCTAACCAGCAATCCAGGGAACAAGCTGGTTCGGACCAGAGCGAAAGGGAGGGGTGTTTTGTTGTCAAGTCTGTATAAGGAGCAATTCAATCAAAAACAATATTCAGATCTTAATTGTATCAGCGATACTTGGCCTGCCGTAGGTAGGGTTTGGAAACCGAGAATATCGTTCACCAGAAGAAAACTCAAGAAGGTGGTAACAGACTCTTGGTGAATGGCGTTTATAGCCCGTCAGTACCCCATACTGCTCAATGAATCTTGGATATGATGGTGAATGGAGTGGGTATTGTCATATCTGCCTTCGCGATGTGCCCAGCTGGTGGCTCAATGCCAGGTAATTGTGTGTGTTGGGGCGCTTGCGATGGAGCAATTCGCTAGTCCCGGCACTTGCAGTTGTATGCGGAGTGAATAAGTGCAGGGGTGAATTAGTCTGCGGAATTTGCACACCATCGCCTCTCACACCAGTGAGAAGTCAGCGAGAAATCAATTTGCTTTTGAACGTAAGTTGGCAAGACCCTGTCCAGACGCCCATATCGAGCGTTGCTGCGTTGGAGACATTATTTTTAACTAACTTCGAAAGTGCTGAGTGGTATATTCTCGAGTTAAGAGGAAATCATTCTTTATCTAGCTCCATACGCCGAAAAGTGTCTCTTATCCTCCTTCTCCTCCCACCATCCTTCAAGGTTGCTTATAGTCATGAACTGAAAACTCATCGTTCCTTTTACGTCCTTCCTGCAGAAATTTCTCCTTCGACCCGGGCGAAACCCTCATACCATGGAATAGAAAATAAAATTTAATAAAATTCTAAGATAAATTGAAATATTAATTATTTATTGAATCGAAATTTGGCGTTGCCAAGCAACCTGAGCTCCCCCAAAAGCCCGCTCCGCACTTTTGCACTGCACAGCATTGTATTTGCAAACAAAACACTAACACCAACAAACAAACAAGTAAATAGACAGACTGCACTGCACATAAATATCGAGCTCACACAGCACGGCGCTTACCGCTATTTAACCGTTCCGTTATTTGGTTGTTCACTTACTTTTGGTTATTAGTGTAGTTTCCGTTTTCCCCTTTAGTCACTTTCGTTCGACTTGATTTCCTGTAAACCTTGCCTTTGTGTATTCTTGGTTTTTCCGTTCCGTTTATTTTGATATTCCGTTTTTTTGTCTTCACTTGTTCTTGTTATTTTACTGAGTTCGATTATTTTCATTTCTTTTGATTTTCTTTTATTCCGTTCATTCGTCTGTGCTCCTCCTTCTCTTTTCTCTTTTGTCTCTTCTATTGCCAAATTTTTTCTTAACGCAGAGATGTGTGCAGATATTGAAATCATCACGTCAAATCAGTATGACGGTGCGCTCACCACCGACGCTCAACTCCCACGCGCCATTGCACGGCTTCGGTCCACCCTCGTCAAGGGATCCTATGTATGCATCAATGGCGCCACTACTGCCACAATCGGCGGCGGGTCTACCGCCCGGAGCGACGATGATTGGCGGCGGCGGCGGCGGCGGCGGCGGCGGATTACCATTTCGTCAGACATGTTCCTGGATGGACCGACATGGTCGTCCCGCATCGCCGCCAATGGAGTATGGCGGACGGCATACAGATCGGCGTGAGAGGTGAGATGGCAATCCGCAATTGCACCTTTTTCTTTTAAAATATCTGGTTTTTCCTCTTCTCATCCTCAGAATCCGACGCGTCGAACTGCTCATTGAACCGGGTCAATCCCTGGGCCTCATGATACGTGGCGGCGTTGAATATGGCCTCGGCATCTTCGTCACCGGCGTCGATAAGGACAGTGTAGCGGATCGTGCTGGCCTCATGGTCGGCGACGAGATACTCGAGGTCAACGGTCAGTCATTTCTAGATGTGACCCATGACGAGGCGGTCAGTCAGTTGAAATATCACAAGCGTATGTCGCTTGTGATACGTGATGTCGGTAAAGTGCCACACTCTTGTACATCTATTGAGATGGAGCCTTGGGACGCGTATAGTCCGACGGGGACGAGGTGAGTGCAGAAGAACTGAGTAAATGCATAAAAAACCATTGAAAAACAAAAAAATATATATTTTTCAGAGCTCGTCGAAAAGGTCAAATAACCGCTATGGTGGAGGAGAAGGCACGCTCTCTTCTGCCGCGCCATCAGTTTGCAAGTCTCTCGTATTATATCGCCGAATATGCTGCGAGAGCGATGACCATAGATGCCTTTGTTGCCGTCTTATTAGAAATGTTAGACACATATGAGAAAGTAAGTGCACACGTAGCTCAGATTTTATGCTTTATTTGTAATTTAAATGTACGTTGGCCGGCTTCAAAAAATTCGAGCTGTCTTTCCTTCCAAAACTCTATTTGCAGTTCCTTATGGTAGTTTTTTTCTTTTCTTTACAGCATACGTTAGTGACGGAACTGCGCGAGCTCATATATCCAGAGGATCGTACGAGATACGATGAGCTTGTTTATCGTAGAGAACGTGATCCCTATAGCGTGGAGAGGCATAGGGTAAGTTGAAATCTATAACCGAAATTGGTTTTCCATAGGCTTTGGGTTCCATGAAAGAAACCAAGCAGAAACTGCATATTTATAAGTGCAAAACTACTGGGGGTCACATTTAGAGCAATCCTCATACCATGCTCAGTTCGAAAAAGCTCGCGGATTGTCTTTGCTGATTTGCTTTCAGGGTTAAGAGGACTTCTGGGGCCCAAAACGCCAAACCTTGTTTTCTTTGTTCGTCATCTCTCACGGTTTGTAGGTATAATAGGGGTAGCAGTTAATGTAGATGGCTTGATCCATTTGCCTCGAATGGCTTGAGTAACACGGTTGGCTCCTTTGAGGTAATATAGAGCTGGTTCCGTGCTCGGCCTGAATGGATATCGAGAAATTTTACAAATTAGTACAGAAACTGATCTCAATCGCCCCCGAAAAGGTTTACGCAATAGCACCACCTGGCACAAGGGATCACTATAAGCTCCTGAATTGCTTAAGCCATCAAATCTTGAACTACTTCCTTGCGTCAACTCACAATCGCTCACAAATAGTATCACCCAACGAAGGGTTGGCGCTCCAGGTGCTCCTTCTTAATTTTTCTTCAATTTTTTCCACAGGAAGGAGTTCATGTTCATGTTAGGAGGCTTCCTATGAAGTGGGAGTTAAATTTTCGAATTGAGAGTTAAATATATTTGCCCTTCCATTACTAAGGGTTAAGCAGAAAGCGCATAATTTAAAGAGTCTGAAGAGTAGCCTAAGTACATATTTGTATTTTTTCTTTATCTCTCTTTTGTTGTTCATCGCGTCTAGCGTAAAGGAGAAACCGCACGTGATTTACCGGTAAGCTTTTTAGAAGATTTATTCTACGATACAGACACTATTTATTATTAGTTCCCTACAAAAACAAATCGTTTATATGCGTATTTTCTGCGGAAAATTGAAGCAAGAGAAGTTATGAAAAACAAAAACAATTTATGGTCTAAACGTTTTATTATTATTATTGTTACTGTTAAACTTGTATCCTTAACAATAGAAAAAAGAATTGCCTAGCCCATACACTAAACTCAACAACAACAAATATACTTATCAATATATACATATATATGTAATATCCAAAACTATAACTGTGCTTTTTGCGTTTAATATTATTTCTTACATACATACATACATACATATAACACTTGTAATTTATTGTGTGATTTAACCAAAAAACTAACGGCATGTTAGCGAATTAACTATGATTGTTGTTGTAATGTAATCGTTATATTGTACTAATACTAATCCAAAGTGTATAAAAACTAAATGTATATTTGTGTGTTAGCAATATTTAGCGGTTAAAGTTAACTAATTATTACTAGTATTAATGAAATTTGTTTCCAATACAGTTACTAATTATTATTTTTGTTATTATTTATTTTTTAACACTCTGCCAAGCAAAACAATTTAAGATAAAATTAAACACAAGACAATTGTTAAAAAATTTTTTTTTGATTTTTACACAAGAAAAACTAAATATAAAAATAAAGACAAATAATACAAACAACAAATAAGAAGCTTCAAACAAAATATGAAAAGCAAAAACAACACAAAAGACAATAATGCAGACAAATCATTAAGATAAACAAATAAAAAACATAAAATTTATTTATTTAAAAATTTATCTTCACTTCAATTTACAAAATATATCTATATACATACAAACATTAAAATCGATAATTAACTGAAATGTTTGTACTTTGATTTTCTCTAATATTTGTTCAAATTTTATAAAGTTGTAGCTACTGTTAACCTTAAATAACGAAATTACTCTCTCTCTCGCGCTCTGACTTTCGAAGAGAAAATTATAAAAAACTACTTTCATTAAAATTATTATAAAGAAAATAAATATTTCAAATTGCCAATAAAGGTTATAAGTACTAAACAAGACTAGCTAACAAAATACTTATATACAACATACATACATACATACATAACATACAATATATAAATAAAGCTTACACAATAAATACTCAATAAAGCTATTACAACTATTGAAAGACGCTAATAATGAGTTTCAACAGTCTTTGACGAAAATGTACCGTTTTTATATAAATTCTGCCAGCAGATTTGCGTTTGCGTTTGCGTTTGCGTTTGCGTTTGCGTTTGCTTATTTGACTGTATTGAGTGCACTGAGCGATATAAGAACTTGACAGTGAGAATAATTTCAATGACATCACAGCAGTAAATTTCTGTCTGTTTCTGGTATAGAAAGAGGATTCGTTGTTTTTAGATGGAAAAATAATTCGTTTTTCAAAATTGTAAGACCCAGCAGTTCTCACACAGTTTTTTCTTCATATTTTGCTACTGTGACGTCATATGGTAACGTTTACTGTCAAATCTAGCAAGTAATGCTGCTTTAGTGTTTACTCTTCTCTTCATTTTTCGTCAGCATACAAACAAAGTATCTACACAAACTCCTCTCTCAAATCTGGCTTAAAATTTCTGAAAAGTATAGAATTAATATTCAAAAGCAAATATCGTTAGCTGCAGCCAGGTTAACTCGAATGTCAATTTTTAACTTTTCAAGTGTGGTATTTGTACTTAAGAGCTATAGAGAGGATTTATTTTTCATACATATAAAATAAGTTAAAAAAGTTGAAGTTAGTTGGAATAATTAGGAGTCCAGGGGCTTTAGATATTCACTACGCACTACTAAAATATTTTTAATTAATTTTTACTTTACTTATTTATTACTAAAAAAATATATTTTTTTTTAAATGCACTTAAGTGTCTAGTGGCATGTATTCATCTTCTGCTGAAAGATCCTTTTGCGTTTGATAATCTCAGATAATCCGACTAGATCTCTTTACAAAACAAAGGGAAAGTCGGTAGCACATTTGATGAATAGAAAATGACAATGCGAAAAGAACAACTATCAATACGAAGCCTCATCTATTGTGTTGTAGTATTTATCGCAGCGCAGTGCCATCCATTACAAAGCACCTTAACTTACTCATTTCAAATTCAAGCAAAACGTCAAAATAAACATCACAATTATCTAAGAACTAACAAGCTTCACAAGGACTTTTCCACCTTTACTTCTGAAAACCTTTGAAAATAAAAATTTCAAAGTTATTTATTAAACAAATACATTCTTCGTTGAGATACTAAGTAATATGTATATATCTATACACGCGCTAAAATCCTGAACTGAACAAATTGTATTCTCGCTTACCATATCCAGGACTTCTCAATTGGTTCTAAAGAATTAAACTTATAAAACTTTGTACCAATAAACGGCAACGTTAAACATCTGTGAGTTGAAAATCTCCTCCTTTTTTATTTCGAAAAATTAAAAAAAGTGTTTATTACAATTTCTTAGCATTCCTCAATAGTAAGCAGGTGTGAACTATACAGCGGTGCTGCTTTAAGTTGATGAATTCAGTCAAGTGCTTAAATACTTTATGAATCTATGTTACGCATTGATTTTAAAGAAATACTTGAGTAAATGCGCATCTATATTCTTAATGCACTTTTATGCTGCCGTCTGTCAGTGCTATAATGTAGCAGTTAATGCAACTAACTTTTTTTTAATAAGTTTATTTGTAAGCATTTGATTAACATACACATATGTATGTGATTGCGTGCAAAGCAGTAAAATGACTGGCTTTTGCGTCTGTATTATCACTTCCCCACAGTGTCGTTTATTACATAATTTAAAAGCATAACACAAAATATTTTTGTCTAAAAACGCCATAATTTACACAAATAATCGTAAATTTTCACTAATCATATAAAAGATGTAACTGTACTCACCATAAATCATTATGCATTTATTCATATATCACAGAATATTTTATATCACCACATTCGAAAAAAATTAGAAAAATATCTAAACAAAATTTGCATTTAAAAAGCATCACCATCACCCATCGCACCATAACTCACCCAGCCGCAAGAACCTTGAACTTCACCGCCACCAAAGCCCCTGCACCGGCCACTATAAAACATATGCTGCAATAAAATGTATTTAGTGTCACCATAAAATAACCACCTAAACTCATACGTATGTACAAGCCTTTTAACAATGTAACGCTCTCTCTCTATCTCTCTCTCTTTCTTACTCAGTGTACGTATATTCACGCTTTTTCTTCTTCTACTGTAGGCATTTTTTGCTACAAGAAATTGAATTTGCGAAGAAAAAGTAATAAATAAAAGTTAGATTCTGTTATTTAAAGCATATTCTGGAAAATACATATATACATACGTACATATATATTAAGTAAGTGTTTACCCTGCAAGAAATTGTGTAGTTAATCTCGAAAGAGTGTATTTCGGGAGCAGTCTCAATTGGATGCAATGGAGATCAATTAGTCTCTAATCAGCGCCGCCAATTACGATGGGCAACAACGAATTTCTACAAAGAAGAATGTTAACTTTTATTCTGGAAATTTTAAGTATTGAGATTTGAAAAGTTATTACGGTGAACTGAGTAGTTTAGTTCATAAAGGTTGTGTATTTTTATTGTCTGAAAGGTGGTGGGTTTTGCCACACAGCTGGGCGCGGACTTTTACCGGATGATAGCCGAGTTAATAATAGCGCTCCTGGTCCTTCTCCAACTGATCCTTGTAACGGAGTGGAGGTATTCCTCTTACTCTTCCTCAACCGGTTGAACTGCATCGAAAACTTTCAAATCTCGTTTATTCTCATCCATCCGGACAACATGACCTAATCAGCGCAGCCATTATCTCTTGATTCATTGAATTATGTGTGTTTTTACGACCTTGAAGTTATGACTTCCACCAATTCGGGATGTGATCTGACAATTTGGAAAGTAAATTTGAAAAAAAAATTGAATTTAATTTGACGACAAACAGACAACTCTACACTCAAATGTGTGAAACTAGTCTCCTCATTCGACAAAGAAGACATGCAGACGGGAGCAATTCTGGCTCTATTCGTATGTCTTCTGCGACTCATCTCAAACATGTCCTGAACTTGCCACAATTTCTTGCAGGGTAAATACAAATATTACACACATAGTACATACGCATATGTATTTATATATATGTAAGCCGGCAATTAGGTTGCGTCACTTACTGACAGTCTCTTTCAAACTCAGTTCACTTTTGATGTACTTGTACTTGTATTGCCTTACATGTCTACTACCGCAGGTAACCGATGTTGACTTGGAAGTAAGCGCAGCCACCACCGGACGCAGTCCATCATCAGACTCTGGGCTGAGCATGACATTGTCGTCGGACATGAAGAATCGGTATAGCAATTAATGAATGCAATCAATTAATGAAAAGAATGGAAAAGAGAATAACGGTCTAAGACATCGTTTTCTTATCTTTTATTCCACACTTGCACACTCTGTCCTTCTCTTTCTCTCTCTCTCTCTCTCTCTTTCTCACACTTTTTACGTGATTTTGGATGGAAAAAAATCTTCAAACAAATATTTTTTTTAATTTTTTCCCATTTGTCGAACTCAATTTGCTACCGATCCACAAAATACGTATATACATACACCTTTGCCTACATATGTACATATGTATATATGTATGAATGTATGACAAATAGGCCAACGCTACAACTGCCCTATCGCCCCATGTCTGCCGGCCCTGTATTACATCGCTCATCCCACTACTATCACCATCCAGCGTCACATCCGCATCCGCATCCGCATCCACCACCACATCATCATTCATCATTGCGCCATCTGGGCAGCGGCTCGGCTGCGGCGTTGCAGCGCGAGCGGGAGGCGCGTTACTTGGCTGTAGCCACGAAAACAATTGGCACAAATACGCCGAGCAAACAGCAGCTGATTTCGCGGCAACAACAACAGCATGCATCATTATCATCTGCATCGTCGTTGGGAGTTAACAAACAATCAATCAATAACAACGGCGACAACAACAAAAATTCAGACAATCAACATCAGGTGAAGAACAACAAAACATAAATAATTATTTAATGACAGAAAAAGAATTTAAGTTTAGATTTAATCAGTGTAAAAAATAAGACAACAGTTTAAGAGTTAAGAAATTAAAGCGCAAAAATTCTAAAAAATTATAGAAACGTAAAAACATTGTGCGTTACATAAAAATGCCCAAAAAGTATTGAATTTTGGAACACAAAACACCGCCAACTGTCGCTTTCTACTGCACTGACCGAACCAACAAAACCAACGCTTTCAACTGCTCTCTACTCTACTCCTTTCCCTCAAAACTCACGCCAATGGTTTCAAATTGTTTTAACACTTTCGTTAACCACCTCTCCATATCATGTAGTTTTTTTTTTTAATTTTATGCAGATTTTTAAATATTTTTTACAGTTTTAAGAGATCTTTCTCTCACTTCTCTTTTTCTTCTACTTCGTTTTCACATGCTTTAAATTTTTGCCTCACTCGCTTTCCGATTAACAGCAGTTCTGTTTTGTGGCCGAAATTTGCACATAATTTTTTCTTTTGTGGAAAATATTCAAACACATTTTTCGTTGCATTTTGAGAGTTTTAAAAAATTGACATTCGATTTTTTAGTTTAGTTTATGTGACGAGGTGTATATTTGAATAAATAGAAAAATAGAAAATAGGGGGTGAAGAGGCTGATAGGGATATCGTAAAGTATTGACGGTGCTCGACTTAAGTAGAAAGCTACATGGAAAATGTTTTCGCCTTGCAAGTGAATACAATGGAAAGGAAAAATTTTTTTTTATTCCACTCCTAAACCTACATTTTACTAACATAAAAGCGCTTCCGCCTACGCTGATTCCATTTTTCTTTTTTTTTTTCTTTTTTTGAGTAAACAATTTAATGGTGGATTTTTCATAAATATTAAATTATGTTCGCATATGCAATATTATTATTTTATTGTTTTCTTGTTTTCATCGAATAATTCTTTTAATCTTGCATATGTAAGCTTACAATTATTGTTGTTTTGCATTGTAATCAATTGGGTTGAGCTATCAAATTTAATCCGATTTAACCTCAAATTATTTTTTCAACAAATTTTCGCCTAATCATGAGCTTTATACCTATTTGAGATAGCAAAAGACTGTGGAAGACTGAAAACTCAAAGTGTAAAGTCATTAAATAATAAAGTGTGTTTGAAAAAAAATCGTGTTCAAAATATTTTAGGGGGTTAACTTCCAAAAATCGCTGAGAAATTAAACCTTGCCTTTGTTGCATAACAAATATTCAATTCATACAAACAACCAGGCCTCGTTGTTAACTTAATACTTATATCAAAAAAAATTACTTGCAAAACTGAATTTGACATCTCAACCAATGGAAAAAAGATGCGTAAGAATATTTTCAGTCTATAAAGCAGTTTTTAGGCACAAAAAATTAACAAATGTATCAAATTTTTCGAAAGTGAGGTTATGGTGTATTTCAAAAATTTTCTCTCAGATATGTTGTTCTCGAAGTATAAGGGTCTTAAAATCTTCGACTTTAGGTATTTTTCAAAATATATTTACTGCATTTTTGTTGTAAGCTTTTATAATTTAACAAACATTGTCCTACATAACTGTTTCGTGTATATTTTGTTTCAGCTAAATATGTATGTATGTCAAAACCAATTTTTAATATAATTTATGAGTGTTTATATTTTCAAAAACTAATTTGGAAAAAACCTTAGAACTGTGTACTAAAAATAAATAAAATAATTCTCTCGATGTATTGGATGTTGTTTTTGATTTTGTAACATTAAGTTTTTTTATTGTAAGAATGTGTGTAAAAAAATTAAAAAGAGAACTCTTTTTGTATAAAGCACTAAGACTGAATTGGTGAAATGAAAACGTCAAAGTTGCTATAAAAAGGGGGCTCTCTGTCAGCTCAAGATTGCTTTCAATAAATCAGAAAATCGGTGTAGCTGGGTGTATGCGTGTATGTGTATGTGTTGTGTTGCTGTTGTTCCTAATTTGTATACTTTGGAAATGCCTACCTTTGCATTGCTCATACAGTTAATTATGATTTCCTTTAATGCTTTACCGTTTCTTTCGTTATCAATCGTCAAACTTATTTATTTATGTCTCTAGGAATACGGCTGTGATGACCATAGGTCCCGTAGAGGCAGTGAAACTCAAATACCACACTCGGAATACGAACAAGATGCGGTGAGTAGTGAAGTTGATGCGGATGATAGTGCATACACACACAAACGAATTAGTGATATTAAATATACATACAAACATGCACGCTTACTCAATTAACAAAATCTAAGATACACTTAAGGTATTTTACAAGGAACCCATTGCAACTACATATTCTACAATACATATACATAGGTATATTTAAGTATAGTTCAAATACTTTTTAGAGCATATTAGGGTGGGTGTGTGGAACATAACAAAAAATATAGATTTTAATTATGGATTTGAGAGAATGTTTTGAGGAGTCGCTTAGGCTCAGGATTCTCAATTAAGGGCTCCGAAAGTACCTCTTCATGCAAACATTAGAGCCAGATGGTGTGGAGAATATTTTTTTCTTAACTTTGAATACTCATTCATGCCTAGAGAGAGCAGTGACTGTAACACTGCTGAGTATTGAGTTTTTGAAGCTTGTAAAAATTCGCTTGAAAAAACAGTTCAGAACATAGTGGGACTGGAGTCTATGCTCCAACACTGGAACCTGTCTTCGCTCTGAGCACTTAGAAACTAATGTTAAAGCGTGTATTGATCATTGTTTGCTCAGCAATTATGAAATATGAGTTGAAGCACCGACTCAGCTATTTACTTACGAATGTCTAAAATCCCTTCTTCGGTTATCTGAATTCTGAAAATTTAAGGTTGCCTCTGCTTCTCATTGAATATCTACTTTATAGAAATATATATTTTTTAATCCTGTGCGATTTTTTTCAGCTTCACAAGGCATATTACTTCCGCCTGTGAGATAAAGCGCCTAAAACTATGCTTCTTCACTTCCGAATTCAGCCAAGGCCTTGCTCATATTTGGATTATCATAGAGACGGGTTTTATATCAAATATGCCCGAATTCAGTTAAAATCAATATGTGGTGTAGCGAAAGTTTCTATATAAGCATTTTCTTTATTGGCATTTACCGCCAAGTTTCGCTGCATACTTTTTGGCGCATTGGTTTTTACTTATAGTTCTTAAATTATTAAAGAAACACTCTTTCCTTTATTAAAATCAACAATTTTATTGAATCAATAATCACAAAATACTAAAAGAATACTAAAAAAAATGAAGAAATAAAGATTTTTTTTCACCGCCAAATGGTAAAATACTTAAATGTATTGTATAACCTCCTAAAGTAAATTAAAGATATATAGAATTGAATCCTTCTTGAAACTATGCAAATACGTTTCATATATGTATGCGTTCATAATGAATATATATATATATATGTGTGTATTAATCGTAGCGTGCGTAAAATTAATTCTTCTCCTTATCCTCAATACATTAACTCCTTCTTGCTCCCTCCACTCTTTCGGCTACGCCACCTCCTTATCGTCTACAAATTACACCAACATTACAACTATTCTCCTTTCCTTTCACCCCACGTCACTCCATTCGGTCCCATCGCTACATGCATACATACATATTCGTCTTTCAACTGATTTCATTAATTACACCAATGGCAGAGAAAGGATCCAGATTACACCGAGTGGCGTAGCAGATACTGTTCGCTTTACTATTTGTCGTTGTTTTTTTTTATTGCTTTCGTTGTAGTTGCTCTACTCCGCTTTCAGCTTTTACATTTTCTCATGCAACGTCGGCCGAAATTCCTCCGCTCCGCCCTGACAGCCACCGAGTCGATTGGTTGTAGAATGCGTCGCGCTTGTCGTGGCGATTATCTCATTGCTTTGCAAGTGGTAGTCTCGTGGCGGCGTGTAGGGGCGTACCAGGCGATGCCAATTGTTCGGTGGACTACCGTTGGGCTCATATTTCGGGCGAGGTATCCGTAATTGTTTGATTTCTGTTAAGTATGAATCCATTGCGCTTGGCTTGCTGGCGGCCTCAGAGTTTAAATGCAAGTATGTGTGTGTGTGCTTGTGAGGTTGGTGTAAAGAGCTGCAAATAGAGAAAGAGAGCACAGTGTCGGCGTATTAGAGATTTGATAAAAGTTAAAATGTCATTAAATTAATTGCCCTAAAAATGGCTTTCTTCTCCGCAAATTGAATTAGAGTTCAATTCCATTGAAGTGCAAAGAGTTTTTATGGCTTTAAAGGACTCTAATAATGTAGAATTATTGAAATAAAGTGGTTTCTTTTCCACTATACTCGTATTAAAAATATTAAGTACCTAATGGAGCTGGGTAATCCAAGGGGTCCCACCTTCTTGAAGAATTTTTGTTTTAATTTCATCCATGGAAAATACATTACAGTCTTCCCTAAGCAGCATCTGGGCAATATGGTGTACGTGCAGCTCGCCGCGAAATAAACTAAAACCAAGAACGATGAGCTGTCTTCGGTCGCCATGCCGAAGGCTGCAATGTATAATTTAACATATGGGTGCAGAATACACTCTTTCACGCAAGCAGATGGACAGGCGGACATGGCAAAAACAACTCAACGAGTCATTTTGATCCGACCGATATATATCTTGGATCATCTATCTTCACTCCTTCAAAAAGTTAATATACCATTTTAGGAAAAGTATAAAACGTTTGCCAGGTTGCCACTCCTTTGCTAAAAAAATAAAGCTTTTACAGCAAATTATGAACCTAATGAGTTCCTTCCAGAGTCAAGTTTTGCCGACTTAAGAATAAATTTGTGAGCCGCTTCAAAGACTGAATCGAATTTTGAACCCAGAATTGGGAGAAGGCTCAACAGCCTTGAAGGAAATCACCACAGAGCCCAATACAAAACCAACTTTCGTCTATCATGAGATTTTAGGACGGATAAAACTTGCAGTTACTCTCGACTGGAAGTTGTCCCATATTCAGGGATGCAGCTGATGTCTGCATTGCGATTGGTCACACGAAAGGAAAGAAAATTATGCAGTTCTAGGAAACGTGTGGCGAACGAATTCGGGTGTGTGGGTGAATCGCCACAATCACGGCATGGCAATTCAACAAATAGAAACTTTTCTTTATTTACGACAAAATCAAAAAAAAACTGTATAAATACATACATACATATAAATATAATCACATGCATTTCGCATGAAAAAACATACCGTTGCAAAAATAGCTGTCAGCCAGGCAATTATAAATAAAAGCGCAATCAAAAACTGACACACAAACATATTTGTATAAGCGTATTTATATTTGTACAAGAGTATGTGTGTGTGTGTGTGTATATAAACAAATGGAAAGACTGCAGTGCAGTAGAAAAAACATATAAAATATATAAATATATATATATATATATGTATGTGCGTTCGCATGCATGGAGTTGCATGTGGTGTAAGACACACACACACAAACACACACACGTTAACGAAACAACTGACAATTTCAACGAATTCGCTGTCAGCGACGCGACGCCGACTCCCCCCTTCAGCACCTGCACTAATGTGCCGTTTAAAATGTGTTAAATGCAGCGAATGGAAAGTGAAAGTATAACGAACGCTTAGTAGCAGCAAATAGCAACAGCAACAACAGTAATAACAACAACAACAACAACAGTGGCAGCAACTACAATACATGCAATGAGAAAAACGTAGTAGAAAAAAATCGGAAAAAACCGAATCTAACAACCGAAACGAGTAAAGTAGCAACAAGGAAAACCACGACGACAGCAACAACACCAACAAAACCAACAACAATCAACAATAATAATAATAATGTTATAATAAAAGCGAGCAGAGCAAACAATGTTGCAAGTTAAGGAAAAACAACAATAAATAAACGATTAGCTACAACAAATTTGCAAACAAAAAAAAAGAAATAAACGGGTGTATGTGTGTGTGTAGTAATTGCAAATTTGTGCACGTTAACGGCAGCAATCTGCCATATTGTGCCGTTATAATAATTAAAACAACAAAAACAAACAACTTTAGCAAAAATTACAGCCTAAAGCAACAACAAAAACAGAACAGAAAAAATATTGCCAAGAGTTGTAGGAAAAACACAATAGAATTAACAACAACATCGAAGCTAAAAATAGCAAAAAACAAAAAAAAAATTTAAAAAACCAACAGTAATAAAACTGCCACCAAATAAGTACAACAACAGCCCCAACAACAAAAATGTGCTGTCAAAATTATTGCGGGCAGCCAAGCTGTCAACCGCACATCTCAACCATTGCAACCGACACGTAAACTAGATTTGTACACAAACATATGCATACATGTGCATGAATCAACAACAATAACTCGCTGGGTGGCTTTGCGTTGCTTGCAATACACCACACTATACCACATTACATATATGGTATGTTGAAGAGGAAAAGGCGGACTTTCAGCGTGTCGGAGTTGCACACATAAAATCTAAATATTGACACAAGCATACCTACATAGATATGTATGCATATAAGCCAAACAAGCTAACGATAATAAACAGTAGAAAAACTACGCTTGCAACAACAACAACAACAACAACTACTTGACGGCAGTTCCCACAGAGCGCCCATGTTGCATTTAAACTCACTTTCAGCGCAATTACAGTAATTTCCGCCACCGCTATCGCAACTGCAGAAACAACAACAATAACAACCACAAAAGGAGTTAACAACGCGTGGCTTCATCTACACATAAATATATATTGTAAATGTAAATGCCTGGATGCCTGTGTGTAGCCTGGAATATGACAGCGGTGACGCTTGCTTATTCCTCTCACCCAAGATGCCAAGTCAAGCTTAAGTACTTCTCAAATCTCTGAACAGTTGGTTCTCAACAAAACTCGAGATCTCCTCAAATAGATTTGTTGAGGTACACATGTGGTTATAACGAAACCTCTTAATATTTTTAAATGTAAAGTTTTCAAACAGGTGGCAATCTAACTCAAAAATATATGCTGCAAGTGCATTTTTAATACACATTCCTTTTAAAAGCATCTCGCTGTATGTTTTCTTTATTTTAATTTTTTTTTCTTACAAAATGTGTTAATTAAAAATTTTGCGTAGGTGACAACTCTACTTAAAAACATTTTCAAACCAACCGTATCGAATTTCGCATGATTTCAACTTTAAAACCTTTTTTTCCTAAAACCATTCGGCAATTTTATATTATTTTTTCCGAATTTGGAATATGGAATTGGAAAACCACAACTATTCAAATCAAAACATTATTCATTGTTTGCTGGGCAACAATTCTATTATGTAGATTTGTGTTTGTCAATATTTATACTTTAGTCGTGCAACAGCCATCCTCACATCTTCCCTCCCTTCTCTTGTGTGGCCTGTGGCCTTGCTACGTTGGCGGCAGCGCAGTACAGCGGAAAGTGCATTGCAGCATTTTCCATTTTTTTCGTCTTCGAAACTCGGTGTGAGCGCCTGCCCACAGCTGGTTTGCGTTTCCTTTTCTTTCTCGTTTTTTCTCTTTCCATGCAGACGTCTCTGTGCATTGCCATTGCTTATCGGTTATTAGCTGTCAGTACATTTCTCATTTGACTGATTTGCGTTGTTGTTGTTTTGCTAAGGCGTAAACAAGTTTGCGCATCCGTGTTTGGGCGTCTAAGTCAAGTTCAATGCAATTCAAAGCCACCTTTCGGGATTTCTTTTGCCACTTTGGCTTTCATCGGCAGCGCCTTTCATCATCCCCGTGACGCTCCGAAATGCAAATAATTTAAGCTTTTAATAGGTTTTATTTACTTTCTGGTGTGAGTAAATCAGAATAAGAGTGGGCTTTGAAAGTTTTAGAAACACATACACAACAAATCATTCGTGACCTGTAGGCTGAAGGTTTGTTAAATATCAGTATTTTGAAGATGGAATCAATCGAAGTGCTCGACAAACTCTTTCTTTTCTTCGTCTCTACAACTTCGATACAAATCATCCGAAAAGTGTACCATTCCCTACCATGAAGTGTGGTTAGAAGTCAGTTAGTGCAGTTAGTATGCAGTTGTTGTTTTGACGGTGAACCGGTAAAAATTAATTACTCTTTGGTATTTCAGCGTCCCACACACGCCAAACCTCTCTAGTCGCGTTAAAAGCTCTTTCCTTAAGCCTTCTGTTCTTGGCTTTTTTGGTGAAATTTGGCCTCTCCTGCTGGCGCAGAAGGAGGTACGTCCGCAATGTGCCTTGAATTTATTACAGTTAAAGTGGTATCGTCTCTCGTTAGAGCATTTTTTGCACAGTTCCCAGGACACCAACACCACAACTGTGTTTCATCTAGTCGAGGGCTTGATTCAATAAGAAGAAGACTGAAGCCACATTTGGTGCTGACGATTTCACGTAGTGATCAACAATACCCTGGTAAATAAATAAAAACGCTTCTGATCGGTGAACTACAGATTTTTGTTAATTTTTTGTGGAATTTGTCGCTAACCCTGGTGGTTTAGATTGACCTCGATAACAACATTCAAGCTTCTTTGACCAAAGTGAAAGCTCCTAAAAGCGTTTTCCATTCTCACCAAATTTCCATTTCATACTTCAAAAGACACATACATTCTCACAAACTTTCTCCAGACCCTCTTTTGTCTGATTCATAATGCACATAAATGCTAGCCCGTCAAATAATTTAATAATTTAGTATAGCGAATATGGTTATAATTCTATAACTGTTAATGCCACATTCAAAGATCAAATTTTAATTTCCAAACCAAAAAGTTTACGGTCTTTTGTGAGAGAAAACTATAACAAAATATTAATAAAAGAGAAATAAAATCTTGTGGTGAAAAATTTTAAGGCAAATATACCCACATACATAGTACTATATATATGTACATACGTACATACGTGTATTTGTTTGTGCATTCACAGCATGTGAAAAATATTATTTAGCACTTTTTGTGAAAACTTATCGCCAGTCAAGCGCTTATCTCCAGAAGACATCGAATCTATCGAACATACATTTACACATCCAACAATAACAACACACTACAACAGCTGACACACTCACACTTTTTTAAATAAATTTTTGGTTATAAAAAATAAAAAAAACACCGTCAATAAATTTCCTTGCATGCA